GAGACAGGAAAAAGAGAGAAAGGGAGAGGAAGAGGAGTAGAAGGGATGTTCCCCAACCTTCCAATCACTCCTTCAAGAGCAGGATCAAGCACACTTGGGCCTTGCGCTGCGTCCTTTTCCCATATTCCCAGCCCCCCTCCACACAAATCAGTCAAGCCCTCTGCTCCCAAGGGAGAAACACAAAGACACTACAAAGAGACTGCTGCAACTAGCAGAGGGAAAAGAGACAAGAAAAAGAATGTGTTGTAAACATTTGTGTCCGGCATGACAGAAGAAGTTTGCATTTCATTTTCCCAATCCTCAAGAACAAAGTTAAATCAGAACATTCCACCACCACTTGCATTCATCCTTCCCCACCTCCAAGTGCCAAGACAGATGGCAACAGTTTTAAAGTTGCCACAGGGTATACAGTTACTCGAAGAAGAATCAGAAGTCAAACTCTACGCAGAATCAAAAGGCACTGAACGTGCGTAGTCGCACATGAAGGGAGCTTTTTTATACTGAGGCATACTATTCCACACAGAATATAACATACAGTATCTATCTGATCAGATCCATACTTAAATTTTGCAACTAAATGTGCAGGAAGAAGCCAGACATCACAAGCCCAGGCAACTGTGCAGCAATGCATTATGAGGGAGATGGCACATCTGACTTCCCTAGCAGTCATTCTCTGATGCAAATATGTAGAAGTGATGAGCACTGCAAAAGTAAAAACAGTGATTCTCAACAAAGCACCCAAAGCCACTCCGTAGGAAGCCATTCTGTTATTGCTAAAATAACATCTGATCTGCTTATTTTTATTTGTGGGTTGTTGTCTTTTTTTTTTTTTTTTTTTTAAAACTCTGGACATAAGACACATACATCCTCTTCTTAATCCCCAAGAATCACTGACTCTTAATTTCATTACTCCTGTTCAACATTGCCCCCTCCACACTTCTCTCCTGCCCCATTACACCATCAAGAAAAATAAAAATCCTACAGATGCAAACTTCTACAAGCAGAATTAGGAGCTTTGCATTCCTGGACTCCTGGGAGAGGAGAGTTCCTCCCCACACAAAAATGCCAAGCCCTAAACAGATCAGCATTACAGCTTTGCTAGTTAGAGAATGAGTCCAGACACAGTACTTCCCTTACAGAAAAGTTACCTCTGGAAGCTCACAGGCAGAGAGAGCAATGCCTGGGGTAAGAAACCATTCTCACCCTTGCTGGCTAAAGCACAGCAAGTAGCATCAGAGGGGGAAACCCTGCCCAGAACCCTCTTCTGAAGGCTACTTACACCACAGGAGCAGCTAGAAGCTGCTCACCTTTTCCTGATTCATCACCAAAGATGACTACAGACAGGTTTGCTGAGAAGTTGCCAATACTGTTAGAAGCTGACAGATGCCAACAGATACTGAAACACAGTCCAGGTGATACTGAAATCCCCCCTCTATATCCCACAAGGCAGCAACAGCAACCCATTTTTATACCAAAAGGGGTACACCAAGTGTCTAACAGAGAGGGTAAGTGCCTAAAAAAAGACAAAACTTCAACACAATTTTTCCAGACACCGTAACATTAAATTACCCAGTTGGATGAAGTTGCCTAAATGGGAATTTATATGAATAACTTCTAGCTTAACACTCTGCTGCAAAATCAGAGCCATCACAAAGCCATTGGGACAGGTGAAAGAAAGTCTGAAAGGCAGGAGAGTTTGGAGTAAAAAGGTCACTCTCAGCTCCCAGGGGACAATTAACTGCAAATAACTCCATTCGCCACTAACCAGCCTTTCCTAGCAAAGATGGCAAAGAGGAGAGAAGATGTGGTGAATCATGAAGAGAAATTCACACTCTTCCAATCTGCCTCTTCAGGTGACTGGCTTGTCCAAGTTCATTTTAAGTAACCTGGACAGAGGCACAGCTTCCTACATTACTGCTACCTGGGCTGTAGCTGTGCTGGAGATGACCAGGCAACTGCAGGCTCCCAAGCAATCAGCTCAGCAGTCTCCAATAGCATCCATGTCATGTTACAGCATCCGTGTCATGTTTTGCAGCCTGGGGAGAGAAGAGTGGGCCAGCAAGGTCAGCTTTTAAGGTATTATTTCATCTCACTTCCTTCTCCAAGTCTCACTGCTGCACTAGATAACACGTTTAGTATTATTCTTCGCTGAACCAGAAAGACCTTTTTTTACTTTTTTGCCAGAGAGTTAATCACAGGCCAGAGGTACAACATACCCAGGCAGAGAGGAATGCTTTTGGGTTAGACACAAAAAAAATGAGGCCTTGACACCATCTCTCTATGCTCTCGATCACTCTCCATTATACAACATCCTCAAATAGCTGATCCTTTGAGTATTGTCAAACTCGCAGGCACTGTGACTGTTAAGATAGTAATAGCAGTAGTCCCATCCTTTCAATGCAGAGACTGACTTGAGGGTGGGGAGACAAATATCCAGGTAGTCCATGGGTTAAAAGACATTCAGTGCTGCGAGTATGTAAGTTATTTCTCCAGGTTTCCTGTCAATTATGCCCCTCAGGAGCTATAAAGATCTGGTCACACCCAGACACAGCACAGTTCCTGGGCAGCCTGCCTATACACTGCATTTTCCCAGACAAAGCTTGCTCTGTTGCCTTCCCAGACACGTTACTTATACTATCACAAACAAAAACCTCACAGAGGTTGAGCTGATTTTTAAAAACTAGAGAGAACCTGGCTATAAGCAAGTACTCTGGTCCTCTGCATCTCCCTAGAGGAAGACTCTGAAGGAAGACTGGAAGGTGGCTGCAGCTCACTGCTTCAGCTGACAGAATTTAATCTCCAAAACCTTCCTGGGGAATTGCTGCTCTAAAAACATACCCAGTTGCTCTCTCCCAAAGTAGTCCATAAGAGGGGGAGAAAAAAAGAAAATAAAAATTAAAAAAAAAAAAAAAACACAAAAAAACTTTTCAAAAGGGTGTTTCCAGTCCAGCACTATCATATTTTACAGTTATTTTAGCTAAGTGTTTTAATCCATTTCATCAGTGTCAAATCACTTTCAGAGTCCCAAGTGTTCTGGTAGGGTGTTAATGTCTTGGCAGGAAACTGCTCTTCCACCACAAGAAAGCAAACTCCAAGGAGTTTGAGAAGAAGCGAGAACAGCACACAACACACACACTGCTTCAAGGGAACAGATGGGCAAATCAGCACACAAAACCCAAACAGGACACTAATCTCCACAACACCTCAGTTTTCAAGGGCCTCCATGAGCGCAATCAACCACAAGCTCTAAAACAGAGAAAAGCTTCTGTCCCCAGTCCTGGCTATTCAGTAACACGCAGTAGCTTTGTTAGGTGGATAGCTAGCAGCAGTCATGTACTAGAAAAGCTCTACTGTACAAATGTTAAGTGCAATTTCTCTCTGAGGCTGCACTATTCTCTTGATTCTGTATATTCACCACTTCTTTATAACCTTGGTTTCCTCGATTTTAGATTGAAAACCTTGTCAAAGTCACAGGAGCTGCCCTTCAGAATCAACAAGTCTGATTTGCAACTTTGTTGTTTAGCTCAACCTTCAATGCTTTGAACAATGAAACACTGGGGTCCTGAAGCAGCTGGGACCAAATAACAAGCATCTTCCGAGGAATTCACTAGTCCCACTAGCCACTGCTGCAAGAGCTCAAAGATATCCTTTGAGCTGCTGGAAAATGAAATGGGCACTTCTGCTAGAAGGAACAGGCAAGAGCTCTTCTCCATTGCTGCAAACACAAGCCAATTAAACAGAGACCCAAAACAGGAGGGGAGGAGGCATGAAGGGTAAACTCCATCACGTGGAAATTAAAAGGTTGTTGTCTTAAGTCAAAACATGATTATTAGACGTTTTAGTTAACTCAGCAGTAGAACTGGATACAGAAAGGTACTGACATTTGGGGCTGTC